GACAAAAAAGGGATAAATAGGATGATAAACAATCAATTTATGCTTTTCACCAGAAATCAGATAAAGCCTCATCTCTATCGATATATTGTATAATAGAGAATATTGTATAATATTTTTTAATGTTATGAAAGTCTATGGATGTTATATTATGTCACTTATATAAGTATCTTTATATGGTATATTTCCTTTAACATCCCTGAAATATTATTAAAATATTTATTAATATTAATTATTTTTATATTAGTGCAGTTTAAATTTACAGTAACGAAAATATCTTATCAATCTATGTTGCGTCTTGTGCTTAAATAACGTTTTGATGTAATTTTATGTACATATCCAATCCTATAACGCCAAAATTATTTTTAATTTTTAAATATATATTTAAATTAAACCGATGTAACAGTTTTACAAATTAAAATAAATATTGTTATGATACTTTATAATGTTCATAAAATATTACAGTAACAGTAAATAATGTTACTTTTAATAATCATGTAATATTATCGGGAGCGGAGACATATAACCATCCATTAATATTCCAAGAATATTATTTAATATTATTAATTTCAATAAAATATTCTTTAAGTGTTACGTTTAATATTCTGGAAGTACCTAAAATATTATTTAATATTAAATAAAAATAATATTATGCGCCTATTAAGTAATATTTGCTTGGCAGTGCCCGTAGTAGACGTAGACCTACGTATACTCTGCCAGGCAAGCGGCGTAGTATGCATAATATCGCCGCGAGATGGACGTTTACATAAGGAGAAAATTACGCGATCTCTATAAAGAGGCGTATGTGAATGAAGTTCGTCACTTACTCTTAGCTTGATCAGAGTGTGATCATGGAGTCTCTGAAAGTATTTTTTTAAATAGAATTATTCATAGTTAATTTAATTAGTAAAATGGAAAATTTTCATTAATGCAGTACTTACAATAAATAACCGATTTTGTAAAATATACTGAACACTTTTTTTGCTTTCTCAATTAATAACCATATACTTATTTAAAAGTAAATTATATACAACAAAAACAAAATAAGCTATAGTTGCAAATTACTATATTTGTCTGCAATTACTAAATTCAAATTAATAACATATAAAAATAAATATAATTAAATTCTCCCTGAAACAAAGGATAGTTTTCAGTATGTCTGTGTGGGATATTTATGTAAATATTTAAAAAATTAATAAATTAAAAATATATGTCTCTACGTACATGTAATCTATGTAAAATACGTAAATGTATATATGACATGTATATAAATGTATATATTATATATGTGTCAAAAGTTGAAAAATACAATAATTAATATAGCGATCAAAATTCTATCGGATCAAAATAGAATATCCTAGAGACATTTTATATTATCAGGACATAATTATCAGGACAAATATCCTGAGATAATCATATTATATATACATGATATATCAATGACAATCATGGACGATTTAATGTTTTGGATCAAAATGAGATCAATCTGATCAAATTATCCTAAGGAATGTGGATTAAGCTAGTTTAAGACGGTTTTAAAATACGGACTATAAATACTGCCCCATGTTTCGCATTTCACAATTGCCCATGCACACTATAGACATCGCGGAGCAAAAGTAGATGTGATTTGGTAAACTGCACACATCATGTATGAGAGCGTTTATATTGGTCGTAACCGTATGCCGTATGTCGTAATCTATAAAAATTGACCAATCATCTTCCCTTCTTATCATCGAATGAAAAGGGAATACACGACTGTGATTAGTCAATTCTTACAGATTACGACATAAGGTCAATATAAACGCTTCCTAATACTTTCACCATGATCTAGACAGCGATTTTGGCAAAATCCTACAAGAGAGAAAGATATATACATTTTATATATATATATATATATA